GATCATGTCGCGATATTATCGCAAATGCGATATATCGTTCAGCCCTAGACCAGACTTAGGCAGCTCCTTATTCAAAGTCCTTTGTCCAATATATCCACCATCCATTCTCTGCACAAGCCCAAACCATCTCAGCCTCGCCTTTCTAACTTTCTCTCAAATCCGCTCGACCAGAGTTGTGATTAAACAGATTTATACTTCAGCCTGAATAGTTTAGTTTGTGTGGAAGCAACTCTGTTTTCTTTGATTACCTGTTTGGAAAGCGCTTTTGTAGCCTTGCATTTTTAATTTATTTCAGTTGTTGTTTTGGTTTTTTTTTGCATGTACAAAATAGTGCAATTAATTAATTTACAATGTGGCATAATGTTGCAAGCTGCTTGCCACACCTCTTAAATGTGGTGCCAAAGAAAGATGGGAAGGACAGGAGCCAAGTGGGCGCAAAAAAAGAGAAGCGAGCAGGACTACTTAATATGTCTTCCTCACCTGCGTGCAGGAAGTATGCTTGCAAAGAATGTGGAAGTTGATTGACAAAAAATGGTTTTGTCACTAAAGTTTAGACCAGATTTTCCATCACATCCTCTTTGACAACAGCCACCAGCTTCCTCTATTAAGCCTTCTATAGTCAATTGTGTTTTTCCAGGAGCTTTTGTCACATTTCTGATACAACAAATGTATCCTGTGTATTGATTTTATGTTTATTATCTTCCCTCGCTGCTTTCTTTTTCTGCCCTTAGAATGAATATTTTGGTCCAAATTTCACAATGATGCAAATGGATTTCAGTAGAAGTCAGTGAAACGCTGAAAAACTGGTTTCTGAAATTGCAAGGTAAAGAAATTAAATCAGTTTCTTAACTTCTTGACATGTTTAATCTTGGCAAGTTACTCATTGAGTTTTCTAAATCAGGACCTGCACTGAAATCGTTACTATTACCCCTTTCATTCCTCCTCTTTCTGTCGCTTAACACAAACACACACCACTTAAGCTCATTGTTTAGCCTCGACATGCTTGACCTGTTCACTCTGCTTTGCTCTGTTGGGATGTCTGGTCTTAGCTCGATGCTAGGAATTTCAAACTTGAAGAGTATGTTGTGCTTTGTGTGTGTGTGTGTTTGGGGAAATTATTTCAGGATCATTACTATGGTGATTAAATAAATGTTAAACCAACCAAGTAGACGGGAATAAATCAAACTCACAAGCAATGCTGGCCCTGGAGTATGAAAACAAGTTTCCCTGGATGTCTTGCACAAATAGTGTTACCAGGCCCCATGTGTATATGCCAAGTGGAAAAAAAACATGTTTATTTATACAATTTAATTTTCATAATTCCACTCAGTTCTCACATCACTGGCTCTAGGTGTGTCAGGCCTGTATGAATAGCCTTGTCTAGTTGTTTCAGCAGCCACCCAAGGGTGTGTGTTTTGTGTGTGTGTGTGCGTGTGCGTGCGCGTGCGTGTGTGGAAAGGGACGTAGCCTAATTGTGGCAATTGTGCTGAGCAAGCTTGTTGTCCTCAGCCCTCTCATGCTTCACATTTTCCGTTGTTAAAACCAGCAACCCTTAAACCCTAAATGCCAACATAATCATGCACAAACACTCTTGGATTGCTTAAATGCAACTTCTGCCACTTTGATTGGTGCCATGAGACCTGCTGTGTCATGATGCCGCAGAAGGTGTCAACAAGGGCAGGATGATGAAAGTGTTGGGGAAGGTAGTCTGAACCAGAAGCCTGTACAGTCATAACAGTAATTGAGGTGTAAGGTGAGAGCTGAAGTTCACGTAAGAGAGGAAAACACCTGCTGGAGAAAATTGCTCCCAGTAGCACGAGCTCAGAGATGCCAGTGTCAGCAAGGGACTTGCTGTGCCTCTCCGTTTAAACCTTCATCTTCTTAATAGTAATTGACCAGCTTTAGGGCTTAACTTTAAAACTAGTAAGTCTTACAGATTATAAGGGTTTCCACGCCCTTCTCTGTAATGTACACAAATCATTTGGCATGGCTTTTTCTCATCGAGCATCAAATCAGGTTTGCCAAGCATGCAAAGGTGCATTACATCAAAATATTTGACACTTAGGTTACTTGCTTACGTGCGGTTTTAGTAGGTTAAAAACTACTAATACAGGAAGGTGTGTAATGTCTCAACTTGCCCAACTTCAATAGGCTTGTTTGAGATGAGCAAGGCTTGCGTGGAGATGATCACAAGCGATCCCTTGGAATGTTTTCTGGTTAGATTTCTGTCTAGTGACTCAGTCTGAAATCATGCAGATATCAGTAAAGATAACCTCACAGTATCTAGGTGACTGTACCCTGTATTGCTTTCCACCAAAACCTCGGGGTGTGGTGGAAAATGACAGGCTCCGTCTGATCAGCAATACAAAAACATTTCTAACTCCTTTTGTTAAATTAGTCAGACTTGTTTATGTTATCTTCTTTGCAGTCTGATAGTTTTCGTCTACAGAATAAATATTATAAATGTAATTATTTTTTTATTTATTGGCACAAAAGCTTTTTTTCAGTAAAGTAAAATAGCTTTTCCTTATATACCCAAATTCAGCACGTGTTAGAAGAAAAAATGTATCTTTTTAAAAATTGCACCAAGTGAAGTGCATAAAATAGTCTTTCCCTTCATTCATTGTACCTGATCTGAATAAAACTAATAGCAAAGTGCTTGACAGCTGTGAGATCCCTCTGTATTTCCCCAGTAGTGTTTTACATACGGCACTGGTATTTCCACTTTAGAAAAATAATTGTGTGCACCCTGCCATGGAGTGTAATATGGTCTTCCCACAGCTACGCAAGACACTTTCAATCAAGTATGTTAAACCTTTCCCTGAAGCCATCGTTATGCTCCGTGTTTGGTTGACCCTTGCATCTTTGCCCAAATGCGACTGCGTTGGTGATTTCACTGCATCATTGCTCACTTTTATGGAAGTCCGAGCTGAACAGTGATTTTCTTGACCTGCCTGCAGTTTGTGCTTTGTTTTCAGGTGGCTGAATAAGTTACCTGTGTGGTTTTGTGGTGCAGACACAACTCTACAGCACTCTTTGCATATAATTTGTTCCTGGTTAACATCACTTGACCTAAATTTGCAATATTTCCGAACAGCAAATGACGATTCAATTCAAGGGAAAAGCTCTTTACCTCCTGCCGTGCCACACATTTGAATTTGGTTATGTATCTCTCTTTTAACGCACTTTTACTAAGCCCGTCTAGTCCAGGAAACCTAAAGCTGCACAGTGCAGGGAACAGCTGTGATTGGCTCATGGAGGCATGTTAATCTAGCGACCACTTGATTTGCTTTTACTTTCTATTGGCAGAGCATACATTTTCAGTGGCACACAATCATGTTCCTTTAATTGTGAGAAGCCAGCACCATGATTGAGATTAACATTTTATTAATTGCACAGCCCTACTGTTAAGATACGCATGGACTGTGTTAGGGCTGTTCGATATAACGATATATATCGGATGACGATATAAAAACGTCTATCGTTTCATCATTTGTTTCATGGTGTCGCAAAATAAACTGTTTACGGCAATATTTTTCATCGTTTTGATGGTCACTGTAGTGGCTATATTAATTTCTTAAAGTTCTCTCTTTCTCTTATATTTAATATAACCACACTATGGACTGACAAGCACCTGTTTTTATGCGTTGTGGTTAGCAACAACGACGGTAACAGCATCCCATGTCCGCTTGTATATGTTCCACATAAACCTTTCACAATAAAGCTCAAGATCCTGTTGAGACTTTTCAAAATAAACTGAATCACGTGAAAGAGCAGATTATTTACAGATGAGAATTAAAAAAGAGCCGCCAGGTGCTAAAAAATAAACCTTAGACTCAAACGTTAGAACGGGCTTTTCCCCGCAGCACGCTGTGTAATAAATACAAAGAAAACGGCGGCCGTTACAACTTATGTCTAAAAATGTATCGTTTCATGCATCGGTTAAAACACTCGACTCCAGCCACATGCTGGAAACACTTCCCGCAAGACGAGCTGCCCGAGATTCACAGAAAATGTTACATTTTTGTGATTTATATCGTTATCAGGACGATAGAATTTCTTATATTGGGATATGAGATTTTGGTCATATTGCACAGCCCTAGACTGTGTACAAGATTGTATAGCTTCTACTTTGCTGGTGTTTTGTTTTGGTTTTTTTTACATTTTTTGATGCATTTACAACAAAACAATAGGCAGACAGCTAGTGCCAGCTACTCTGGAAAAAATAGAAAGCACACTGTTTTGAGGCTTGATATCTTGTTGTTTATCTCCTGTGAAAAAAAAAATATGCAGAGACCTCAGATCACTGTGTAGAATTTCTTTTCAGGCCAGCTGTTTTGTAAATGTAATCTCTGCATCTCTGTCTGCAAGATAAGGAGAATGAGCCTCACAAGTCACAACAATATGTAAACTATATACTTAAGGACTGGCATGACACAGTGTTGCTCCTTCACTATGACTGCCTAACAGATCAATAATGAACTCTTGTTTTGTGTTTAGTATCAGAAGGGATAGTACCAGCTTGGCCATGACATTTATTTTTAGCAGCAAACTGGTATAATGCTTGCTTTCATCGTGATCACACTGGCTGTGTGACTAGATCACCCTAGAAACTTTTGTAAGACAGGTTTAGTTCATCTTAAATTAACCAACTATTTTGTATTTGATTGATCAAAAGACATTGGTCTACACTTTATCGTTTTTTTCGAAAGGTGATTTTTTTTTTTTCATAAATATTGAATTTTTATGTCAATGCCTTGTGCAATAACAGGTGTTTAACATTTTCCAGGCTAATTCAGCCTTTTCCCAGGCTTTGGTGGAACCATACTAAGAAATACATGGAGGTCTCCAGTCTTGGTACTAATGCTGCATTCAGTGGACACGGGGAATCCACTCTTATCTCTCCCCAGGGAAAAAAATCAAACAAACAAGCCTTATTAGCTCATCTGTTTCTTCAGTTAAGTGATGGGGGTTGTTATTCATAAAATGGCTAAAAAGCAAACCAGGAGGCAGCCAAGAAATTACATAAATCAGTTAAATCCAATGAGATTCCTGATTAGATTTTCCAACCTTCCACTTCTGATGTGCCATTAATGCAGCATAAGAAGGGGTGTAATCAGGAAAACTAAGTGAAAACACCTGTGTGAAAGTTTGCGAAGCACAAATTAACATTCAACTTTCAATTACCATTGGAAGTTGAAATGTTTACCTCTCATATCTCTGAAAAGACAAGGGCTGAATTAAGTCCCTTTTACCTTGTGTTAGAGTGATGCGATTGTTCTTGAGCGTTTTGTTGTGATTTGACACCATTACAAAGTACATACAGCATCAGGTTTCAGTTTTGTTTGCAACCATGTCAATGACAGTTTGTACGTGGGCTTATAATGACTTCAAAGGATAATTTTCCTAACACAATAAAATGTAAGTGTGGTTTATCAAATTTTCCATTGGTTCATTATCATGTAATGTTTTAATGCTTCTTGGTAGCAGGGTTAGTGGGTCAAAGGTTCATTAGCGGCCTACAAATGTTCTCCTCGTGCCTGCATGGGCTCTCACCGGGTACTCCAACTTCCCCTGACAATCCAAAGACAATGGTGAATGATTGTGTGTCTTTTTTTGGAAGCCATGCAGCAGACTGGAGAGCTATCTATGGTGTACCCCACCTCTTGTCTTATGGTAACTAGGATAGGTTCTACCCACACTCCTGACCCCACCTACACCTGAGACCCTGAATCTGATAAGCAGAGGAAAAACTTTACAATACAATAAAGTTTAAGTGTGGTTCAACCAATTTTTCCACGAGTTTATCACCTTGTGATGTTTTTAGTGCAGTCAGTGGCTCAAAGGTTCAATAACAGCCGAAGTTTATGGTGTAGTTGTTTTTGTCATTTCCATTGTGAAGTTTTTAGTCTTGCTTTTTTTAACTACCGCTTCATAAAAGCACATTTAAAAAAATGTGTATATCTCATGAATAATAACCACTACCTGGAAATTACACAAATGAGTAAGTCTCTGTGTCCCAGTCTTTCACCATACTGAATCCATTCTTCCAGTTTGGAAGTACATGTACAGTATTGTGGAAAATTTGCAGCCACTTGTCATTTCTTGATAGTTTGTTTCCAAGTAACCAGTCCTCCTTATAATTTCTAAAGTAGTCAGATGTGGCAAAAGTACAGACATTCTGTACTTATGTGGAAATACAGATATTAGTATTAAAATATACTCTAGTAAAAGCTGAAGTACTTATTCAACGAGTGAAAAGGTATAAGTTCTGAAATGTACTCAAAGCAAGAAAGTAAAAAGTAGCTCTCTGGGAGGATATTCTACCATCTATCTTTGTGCAAAGTTAACTGAACCTTGTGCTATATTAATGCAATAATAAAATAATATTGGTAGATGAAACTTTATTTCAGTCTAAATTTTAATTCTACTGAATGCACTCAGTTTGAATCAGTTATGTAGAATATGAACAAACAATTGGAGAAAATAAAGAAATTCCTCTGTTTTCTGTTGCTTACAGAACAGAGGATGACTTTACCTTTAAACTGAAAAATGAGTACAGTTAGGGGTTAAAGTGGGATTCAACGCGTGGGGGAACCCTAAAATCGGTTGTAGTGGCTCAATGTGGGGAAATGAGTAATAACTCTTAATGGTACAGACTGTGATTAGGTGATCTGGGCCACTGCAGCTCTGAGGTTTACTCGTCTTTGTGGATTTGCACAACTGAATTCAACAAGATATAAGCACATGTCTCATGAGTTGTCTTGGCATCCTCTGTGATGACAGTATATTGTGCATGTTATTTTTATACTAGGCTGTATAAGGTTGGTATGAAGGTGGAATTGAGTGAATGAATCTAAGATTCATCAGCTTAACTTCAAATTCAACTGTGCTACACTTGATGTAACCGAACTCTCACCTTGAGCACCACAGCCACTGTGCACTAGTCACACACAGTTCTTTGCTTTAAATCCATCACAGTACGGCAAATCTAAATTGTTTATGCTGCACTAAGCTGCAGAGTATTTTCATGCCGTTTTTGAATAACACAAACTTGGCATACCTCAGTTTGTTTTGCAGAACGCTTCACAATATGAAAAATCATTGCTTCACATATACAGATAACATCTGACATAAAAAAATCAGGACTTGCATGTAAGCTTTCAAGTTCCAGTTGATCAACTATCATGAGCAGTTATTACCTTTAAATAGAATTCTCTCTTCTTCCTCTCCGGTCCCGTCTTTCTCTATCTTGAGTGGTTTTAGTTCTCATTCTCTCCCCTGTGAAATATAGCAGCTGTAGCTTTTAGGTAGAAGGCATATTGTGACAAACTGCACAGAAACAGTTTGTGGGTTTGCTGATGTTTGTTAAGGTGATAGAAATTTTGCATTTTTTTACCTGCCACGTAAAAAAAGGTATTCCCTTTATACTCACTCCTCTTTCTTAGAGCTAGCTAAATACTGAAGTACCACAACTGCAAATTATGGACATCTGCACTTGTTCCAGGCCCACTTTAACCCCTAACTATGGCACACCGTTTTGCCTCTTTGATCCCTTTTTATGCAATGTTCCCTGGTGATTAATATACAAATAGGACTGGCTTTCATGTGTTGTTTAGGCTCAAATCAGTTTGCTGTTTGAAGACCTGCAGTGACGTGAATAAATAACTCCCCTTAAATGTTAAACCAAAAACCAGGAGCCTGTTTTGAAAATGTAAGGAGTAGAAAGTAAAGATATTTGTTTAAAAATGTAGGGAGTAAAAGTAAAAAGTTGTCAGAAAAATAACTACTCAAGTAAATTACAGAAAATTCTAAGTAAGTAAGTATTTGTACTCATTACTTCTAACCTTTAAAAGTAGTCTTTAGGTTCTTTACTTTGTACACTGGCTACTTTATCACTCATTTCATTCCATTCTATTCCTTGGTAGACCAGTTAACACTAACTTATAAAATAATTCAAGCATAAAAAAGGTCCCTAATGCAAGGGATGAAGAAACAAGTAAAAGTGGAGTGTAACACAATTTTTGGGCCATTTTCTCCAGCTAGCGGTCAGCGCAGCACATGTTGCTTTCTATGTGAAAGGGGCTTAAGTACGCTTGGGCAAGATGCGGAACCCTAAATTGCCCCATCGGAGTAGGAATGTTAGATAGAAAGGCACATAGCTGTAGAAAAAAGTGCTTGTGTGAATTGAATAAGGCATGTTGTATAAAGCGTTTTGAGTGCTAGAGTAGAAAAGAGCAGAAAAGTACAATATATGAACCAGTCCATCCACTGTTTGCCCCATCAGAAATGGTCTCAGTGGACTGAACCAAAGATCACTAGCAATCACTGGAAAAATCGGTGGCAATCAATCTTATAGCACCTTCGTTCAAATAGTCATCAGTTTGGAGGTTAAGGAGAGAGGTACAACAGCAAGCAGCTACAGCAATCTGTTAAACATGGTGGAGGCTTTGTCATGATTTGGGTATGTTGACAAAACTGATGGGATTATGAACACTGAAAAGGACTGTCAGGTTTTCCATCATCCATCATACAGTACCATCTGGAAAGCATCTGACTAGCAATAGCTTCATTATTAAGCATGACAGTGATCCTAAGCACACACCCAATGCAGTAAAAACATACCTAGCATTCCTAATCAGTTGAGACTTTCAATGTAAGAGTATCATTTTCCAGGCTTTTTTGCTTTCAGTGTCTTAACACTCCATATATTGCCATATTGATTGCATCCAAGTTCCTGTTACAATATTTTAATTCTTCTGTTCTGTTCCTGATTATACTTGAGTGATAGTTTAAGATCTTCATTCAACAAAGCCATTTTATTAAGAATAACAGAAAGTTTCTCCAGCAGTACATTCAGTGAATAATTCCAAAACCACAACAAAACGTGATTTAGTGACTGTGCACCCACAATCTGTCACCCGCAGACCAAAAGGTTCCCCCATTTACATTCCACCCTAGGAATGTCTGCCCTGGATTTTCCACTGTTTGTGGGTAAATATATTAAAAGAGCAACAGAACTGCAATCTTTGCTTTTGGCGAGACTGCTAAAAACCACATTTGTTTCATATTATCAATGTTCTCCTTCTTAGCTTCTTTCCATAGCAGAGATCCAAGTCTGGAATACAGTGACTGTCATCATCCACCCACTTAATAAAACAGTGTTTCTTTAAAACTGTTATGTTTATTCTGTATGGACTTGTACTCAGCTAATCTTGTCTTGTTCATCTCTTGCAGATGGCTGTGTCAGTGCGGGGCCTGTACTTTGTGGTGACCCTGTTTTTGGGTAGTTTCTTCGGGAGCGTCTTCATGCTGGGACCAGTTTTACCCCTCATGTTGTTGTCTCCTGCTTGGTACCGCTGGCTCACTGATCGAATTGTGGCTACCTGGCTCACCCTACCTGTGGTGCGTACACCAGCTTACCCTTTTCTTAACCTACTTGTGTGTGACAGATGGTCTTAAGTTACCTGTGCATAGGCTGATGAAAATGTGCCTTTTCTCTTAATATGTCAAAACTACACTTCATTTATTCCAATTATGCCTGAGAACAAGGCAAAGGTCTTGTGTATCATGACTGCAACAATTGATGATCGTATACCTGCTCGTTATCAGATGAAACACAAGGTGGTGCCATGTAAAATCACCTGTGATTGGTTATATGACCATGAACAATGGCAATAATATCCTACCAGTATCTTATTATCTTCTCATTCTTTCGGCTCTTTTCTGTTTTTCTTCCTACCTTACCTCTTCCTAGTTCCGCCTCCTCCCTTTCTATGATTTTCCTGTCATCATCCTTGACCACCTTGCTATCTGTCACCCTCGCTTCCCTTTCGGTTCTTTTATGCTCCCTCCATCCTTGTCTCTCTTTTCTAGTCCTTGCTGGAGCTAGTATTTGGAGTGAAGGTGGTAATAACAGGTGATGGTTTCATTCCCGGAGAGCGGAGCGTGATCATCATGAACCACCGTACCCGCCTGGACTGGATGTTCCTTTGGTGTTGTCTGCTCAGGTACAGCTACCTTCGTCTGGAAAAGATCTGCCTCAAGGCTGCGCTTAAGGCTGTTCCTGGCTTTGGTGGGTATACAGTGGGTGCCCTGCCCTTTCCTACACACAAAGACACTCGTGTACACTTACACAAACTATAATGTAATATATGCTGAAAGAGGAGATAAAACCATTAAGACTGACTTGGCTGAATGTAAATATAAAAGAGGAACATTATGATGTAAAGTTAGAGCACTAATGTGTTATACAAGTTCAGCTCCTACTTTAAGATGTTAGCCAGTTTACCTTGATAAGCAGACATGTGACAACTTAATATTTGCTTTGCAGGTTGGGCAATGCAGGTTGCCTGCTTTGTCTTCATTCAGCGTCGTTGGGAGGAGGACAAGAAGCATTTGGAGAACATGCTGGACTACTTTTGTGACATCAGAGAGCCCTTGCAGTTGCTGCTCTTCCCAGAAGGCACCGACCTTACCGGTGAAGTGTAAACCTTGCAGTGTTTAATTCATTCATGGGGCAGTCTGTCCATATTTCAGTTATTACTCTCAAAATGTGTTACCCACCAGTCGGCTTCCAGAGCTCAGAGTAGCGCTCCACCTGTTGCATGCCTTTGCGCTCGACACTGTTATGCAAACACAATTTCAGAGTGATAAGACATATCTAAATCTCTTGTCACTGCCATTTCTGCAAGAATGCTCTGATCTCTCGGTCTAAGCAAGAGTGACACTTGTGCCTAAAGGCCCTTCAGATCCCATTTGAGCCAGTCAAAGTCCTGAGTAGCATTACTGGGAGAAGCTTAACTCCCATTTACATATCATGATGTCATGTTGAGCTGAATGTAGTTACATCATAATTAGCCAGTAGGGTCTAAGTATTACTTTACAGTTGGTGTTATGTTTGCACCCTTGCGAGTGTGTTTGCAAGTAAGCCTCTTAGACTTCAATGCTTGATGTGACGCAAGAAACAAGGGGATATATACACGGTATGTTGACTTCTTACGTGGAAGTTCATTAGTCCCGCACTGCTTATCCTAGAGGCATACAGACTAAAGGATCAAGGTCAGAGCAAACTTTTTAATAAAGCTTTTAAAACTGAGTTGGATAAGAGACTGTGTAGGAATGACAAACGGCTTTGTTTAAGAGAACAGGTGTGATCAACAGAGCTGTCTGTTGTCTGAGTACTCTGTCTGAATTTGCTTCTTGTTGCATAATATAACTTATGAGTCATGATATAGTTTACATGTTCCAGCAACAAGTTCCCAAGGAATGTTTGGCTAATAAATAGTCACCTTTCCTGTGTTTATGCCCCCCCGTGGATTTTTATAAATGGATAAATGTTTATCTTTAGTGGGTGTATTAATGAATCTAATCATATCCCGTAACCCATGTTGTTATTGTTACTTCTATTTTTATAATAGTACACTGGAATTTTTTGATTATGTATCCCCATGAGTTCGGCTGTTGTTATTATTAAGGCTATCTAATATGCAACAGTTAATCTTGTCCATGGTATTTTGGTTTGACAGTATAAATTTCATCGTAAAGGTACTCTAAGTTTAATAGTTTTAAAGTACAAAGTCAAAATGAATACATACAGCTAATACTCCTAGCATCTTAAAACAATTCTTGGTTTATTTAGCTTATTTTTTGTGCCTACATAAAGGTTTATGCACTCTTCTTAAAGCAGTCATAGGATACAAACTTAGTCTTGATTGCATCCCAGTAAAAACATTTATCCTGGAGAGAATGAGTAACATGATATGTTTTTACAGAGTTTTTACTCAAGTTTTATGGTGTGTGTCTTCTGCAGAAAATACAAGGGCAAAGAGCGACGCGTTTGCTGCACAGAACAGCCTGCCGAAGTTTGAGTATGTTCTTCATCCCCGCACCACAGGATTCACCTTCATTGTGGACCGACTACGAAAAGGTCCGCTTTAAAGGACATTAACAGCTTCTGAAATCATCTACATTAAACACGTGACCGATTTACTTGTAATAGACACGTTAAGGATAGTTGGCAGCCAGACAGTGTAATGCGTTCACATGAAAATAACCAGGACACAAAGCCTGTCATGAGGACGGAAATATTTTATCTCTAAAACCAACTGAAAATGACACGCTGCTACGATGACTGTACTTATTCCACTGACGCTGTTCATACAAGGAGGGATTATACCTGTTATTCTTCAGAGTCTCAGACATATGCTTCATCCCAATGCCAGTCATTACAGCTACCCGATATTCTCATATTTCTGTGTGAGCTCAACCTGGCAGTCTTCCAAAGGTCTTAAATACCATCTCTGGTCCTGCTGTCTCACCCCCCCCCACCCCCACCCACCACCACCAACCCTGCATGCTCAGCAGTGACACAGACTCTCCAAGCAGGTGTTGTGAAACACTGTGATATCATCAGACTAAGCCAATTTTCATCTCCCTTTCTTTATGCCACTGACTGACATACTCATGCTGATCATGTTCTCCCTGTCCATATCCACTGTGCCCCTCTAAGCTCTATTTTTACTGTGAGAGCAGGCGCTTGCGGGTGTCATCCTGTGCTTTTGGTAATCTATTTTGTTCCCCCTGTGTATACAAGGGCACTGTAGATCAGTGATGACGGTAGTTTTAAAACGGCGAGTTACTGGATAATTGGAGGTGTCTGAGTAACGGGGCCAGTGAACTAGTGTGGTTTTGTAAGAGAGATAATAATTCTCCCTGCAGTGGCTTGTCTTCATGTCTAAAAGATTTACTGTTTGTGGTTCTGGATCGGAAGTTGAGTTTTTCACACTTCTAAATGAATTTGCTTTCATCTTTTTAAAATAGTAAGTCGTGTTATTCTCCCATTCATCATTTTAAATTGTACTTGTTTTTTACTTTTTTCCTAGGTGATAATTTGGATGCCGTCCATGACATTACAGTCGCCTACCCTAAGAACATCCCACAGACAGAACGCCACCTCGTATCCGGCCATTTCCCACGTGAGATCCATTTCCATGTCCGGCGCTATCCAGTGTCTGCACTTCCCACCTCGTCCTCTGACTTAGAATCTTGGTGTCGGGAGCGCTGGGCGGAGAAGGAGGTCCGGTTACGGGACTTTTACTCAGGGCAGCCCCGCGCCTTTGACAGGGATGGCGTTGCACGAGTACCACCCTGTAAGTCAGAGCTGCGAGTTACTCTGATCAAAGCGGCCTCGCTGCTGTATTGGAGCAGCTTCATTGCTCTGTGTTTCACTGGCCTGTGGCTCTGGGCTCCTTTCAGGCTTTACTTCCTGATCATGGTTGGAGTGTACATAGCTCAGCACAAGCGCTTTGGAGGGCTTGAGATGCTGGAGATGGCCTGCCATCGATACTGGAAGTCGATGTCTGCTGACGTCAGTGAGAACAATAAATTGCTAGATGGAAAAATGAAGTGAGGAAATACAGTTGCGAATGAACAATGACGTGTTACCACCTGTACTCAGCAAAGACTGAGGACTCATTTGTCTACACTTGTTCAGTCCAGTGAGCTAAAGGATCCCATGGTGGAACCTAGTGCTCCATGCCTTAGAAAGACAAAAATAAGTGCACCCACGATGGTATGCATGGCTTCAGTGGAAAGAGCTTTCTGGGGGGGGGGAAGGAATGTTAACCATATTAAACTGTGTTGGGTTTAGGGAATTCATCGTAAATGATGTTTCACTTGCCCTTTCTGTGACTTTTCTTGTGTAATCACTGTTATTTAGCTTGCCGTCTGTCCATTTTTATCCGTTTCATGTAGTAGGTGTTTATCATGGTTTGTTGTTTGGGACCTCGGTATGGACCTGTGTCAGAAAATACTGCTGTTGGTATTTGTCATACTTGTTAGATATTCATATTTTTGAAATGTATTTTATTGTATGCTGTAATAATTTTTTTTAATCCTGAATGGAGCAGAGCCATAGTACAGAACGTGTATGTATGATGATTTGACTTCTGCTAATATTCACATTAGCTGGATTGTTTAAATCAATCAGCTTCTGTTAGAAGTGTTCAGCAAGGGGAAAAAAAGGACAGATGTAATTCCCAGAGAGTTATTAAGGCACATATGAGTAAAACTGTTTACTTTTAGTGGGTATAATTACCCTTTTAGCCCTTGATCCTTAGCCTATATGGTGGTTTCACTGTATATGTCTCAATTGCTCAAGTCAATATGACAATGCAGCTTTTCCATGTAAACCCAGCAGTGAGAAAAGCAAACGTCAACTTTAAAAACAAAAAGCAATCAAAAGCAAGTAGTCTGTCATGTGAGGAAGCGGTAGATCTACATGTCAGTGGCAGGGTTGCCTGTAGCTATATTGAGGCAGCACTTGTATTATTATCAAAATTAAAGATCTGACTGATAAGTCTGGCTTACTGTAGAAGTAGATGGGCTTTGTGCCCTTTCTGGGGATGAAGAGACACCTTGTAGAGACGGGATGTGTGTGGTGCTGGGGTGGAAGAATGTCCTGTTGGGACAACGTTACCCCTCAATGTGCAGGGTGGCACAGAGAACCAGACTTGGAGTGGAAAACTGGCCCTGAACTCAACCTAATCCAAAAAAGCCCTGTAATGCCCACCACTGCTGGTATCCCTCTCCAGAGGACTGGCATTGATGCGCCAGCTAAACTCAATTAGCAAATGACAGCTGAGAAAGCGACTCCAGTTGTGCCAAAAAAGGAGTGAAATTGAAAGAAGATTGAAGCAGTTCTTCAGCCGCATGTTTCACCTCATGTTCTCTTTGCCTTTGCTCTCTGTTCAAACTCAATTACATTTTTACTTGAGTGAGTAAAGAAGCATTTTGTGTTTGGAGGTCTACAGCAGTTTCTGTAACACTGTGAAATGTGTGATCTAGCTGACGACTTCAATCCACTTTTGAAGTACTAATTGTCTGGCACGCAACAGAGTCGACAATGGGGTCTTTTTTTGTTTTGTTTGGTTTATGCAAATCCGAAGCTCGAGTTTATGTCAAAAGGGGCTGTTTCTAGTCACTGTGATATAGTTTTAACAACTCGATCATCAGCATGTTTGTTTACCAAATATGGTACTATATAAATGTTTTGTTTTTTCAAACCACTTAAAACTCCCAAACCAGCTGGAAATCTCTCTCTTTCACCTGTGCCGTTTTGTGTTGCTCATTTTTACATTTACTTGTCGATGCTGGACCTCTTTAAAAATCACTGTCCTCAGGTAAACGCAGTGGACACTGTTATGAGTCAGTCTTTTAAATGAAGAGATATATATCTAAATAAATATGCTGTATCGACTCACTGATGTCTCCCGTCATCTTTTGTTTTTTGAAGTTTAGGAAATGTTGACTCCCAACTTAAGTAGTAACGGCGCTTTTGGTGCCCCAGTGTCATGTGATCGGCAGTTTCATTCATTGCATTTTTTTTCCACTGCAGTCCTTTAATCTTGCATGTCCTGTAACAACTACTGTATTGCAGTGGATGACTCAACAAGACCTTGAATGCTCATGTTGCACAACACTAAGGATGGAAGACCGTCCTGCCTCGTGTGTTTTGTGCGCATACACAAAACTCACACAAACACACATATGCATGTCACAAATATACATGTCAAACACATTCTAGTCTACCATAGACAACCAAAAAGGTCAGGAGCTTTGAAGGTGAAGTGCAGTCGCCATAGTAACTAATGTTGACTCCCTTGTCTCCTGGCAACAGTATGTGGAGTGATGTCAGTGGAAAGCATGCCATTTTCTCCCAGTGACAGAATGATGTCACTCCTTTTGTGTGTGTGAAGAGAGAGCTGGAAAGAAAAGTTTATTTCTATATTATACATCTCTGCTCTCCTGTGGGCACGGGAGAGCGGGCAGACACATCCAGTCGAATTAAAGACAAAAAGTGAGGACATACTAAATTAGCTGTCCGCAGATGATGAATCATTGGACAATTACAGATGCATTTATCCACCCACTTTTTCTCTTGCCCCACCCCCTCACCCCTCGCTTTTCCACCTCTTCATCTGAATGTATCTTCGTCTGTATCTGAATATAACTTCAAAATTGCCCTGATGGGTTTGACAGTGGGTGGAAGGAAGATGGATGATTCGCATAGGCTATCATCCACCTTTTTTCTCTCAATTAGATTAGCTTCCAAAAGTCGGACTCTTTTATTAGAACAGTACTTTGATGGATATGTAGGAGGCATCTGGGGTCAAAGTTTTCAGGAAACTCAGTATCCCAAATTTCTCCCCTAGAGCACTTGTACAAATAGAAATACAGCCATCTTACATAAAGATTGTCACATCTAGACTATCTAGTCGCATGCAGGCTAATAGGATCAAGACAGTGTAATTATCCTTATCTAGCCGGATAGCTTTTTCAATAACGACTGCAGCAGACAATCCAGAGGTTAGGCACAGCCGAAGTCACTGAATTATAAAGTAGCACTGTGACTTCTCTGGAGCTAGGAGTCTCACTTTTGCCTCTGGTTCTATCCAGCTTTTAAATGGGTGTAAATAGCTGTGGAAACCATAAAGCCTCGCACATCCATCAAAAAATGGAGAACAAGCAACTACGATGGGTACGAAAATAGCCGTGATCAGAAAAGTATATTGTGTTCAGCTAACTTAATTAATATTTGTTTGAGCTGGGTTTAGTGCATTGTGCCTGCAGGAGTGACTGCAGAAAAGCAGACCTGTTGTTGATTCCACCACAGTGACACAGACCATTACAGACACACCAACAAAGAAGCCCTCCTACAGGAGCTGAGCTATAAATAACTCTACAGCGGAGATGCAATATTAGTGGGTGGATCAGAAGTTAGTCGTCACTTCCTATTTATAAAGCAAATGCAGTCAAATTTTACATCGTGGGTGATTCATACTGAGTGGTGAATAGCTGGGATTAAAATGGGACTTGTTTCAATGTGGTCCATTCTTGATTTCCTTTTTAAATGACATTTTCTCTAACGGTTAAGTAAATATTTTCAAGTGTCAGACATCTAATCAAATATATATCATTTTTGAGTTCTCTTATTTGTTTTTATCTGCTTCAGGGAATAACATCTCTAATATGTCTTGCCAGACTGCAGTGAAGCTCTACAGATCTTGCCAAGCAGGTTTACGTCAGAGGCAGGCAAGGGATTCAGCATCACCCTACCAAGGAAAACATCTTTAACCTGGTTCTCTGTATTCTGCTGCCACCTAGCGGAGAAATGCTTAGGTTTTGATCATGATGGCACCTACCAAATCCTGGTATTTTCATGTCCCAATGTGTCTTTCATTTTCAGAAATGTTAACGTAAGAAGGTTTTGCCAATTGATAGCAACTACAACCACACCTGCCTTCTATTAAGAGCATTAATACATTAAAATATTCAGTGAATACTGTCATAAGGTTTAAACCCAGGTACTACATCTTTATTTAGAAATCACATCAGAGAAAATTTAGCCATAGCCATAGAGGAAAACAAGCATCATATTAATCCCCCAAACAAGAAAATGTCATAACATAAACATAATCGATCAATAAAACAATAATCAGATAATATAAAGTAAAAACAATTGCTATCAATAAAATGCTAAACGTGAACAACAAAATGATGATATTGAATTGTGGCCACTAGCTGTACACTGCACTGACTTTGGAACATGAGTGGTTTCAGTGTCCTGGATATTTTTTTTGTCTTCTGGAAATTAAAACTTGCACCGTCAAGCATGACCTTGCAAAAAACAAGCAAAACATTAAGTGTCATTAGTGAAGGCTGGACCATTCTGGTAACGCCCAAAGCATAAACAAGGTAACATCAGGGCTGGGTGGCTGTGCTCCAACCCAGTCCCAAATTAACCTCAAATGTCAAGTAAATTATTTTATTTTACAGTTTGACAATATAAAATGCAGGCTCTGGCCTACTCCAACAGCAAGGGCTTGACTTTGAAGATAAATACTCAAAGCTTGCCTGGCTTTGTGTTCTAAGAAGCGATTCATCTTATGACCAAACATGCCCCAAGCCTAGGATTATAAAGAGGATGTGTCACAAACCTGAAAGTAGCTCAGCAGCATTTGCATTGATATGTTTAACGGTTTAAATACATGTACGATGGTCAAATACAGTACTGAACATATTTTTAGATTCAAGAAAATGCTGTTTGATGAATGCCCACTGCATTGTGTTTTTAGTTATTCCTTCAAAGCCTGTACACTTGTCCCACACAATCACTGAGCGACTTTCAAATATGACCTATTCTCTAAAGATCCTTTCCTTTAAGCTGCCACGCAGTCAGAGAATGTCTCCATCATTTTTCAGACGCACTGTGTCACACTGAAGGCGAACGGCTGAAAGGAACATGCTCCTGACAAGTCACTAAAGTGGCATGCTGCTCTTCACACGCAGAGGCACAGAATCCATGGTAAGCTAAACACAGGTGGAACTGAAGTAAACAGGTTGTCTACTCTGTTCATTTGAAATATGTCATGTCATTAAAATAATGAGCCTAATCTAAAGAAAACTACTGTTCAGGCACAACAATGAATACTTAAATATGACATCAATCTGTGCAGTCCTCACTGTATCAGTGGGATGAGAACACAATTACATCCACTACACTGCAAGCGAAGAAAAGGTAACTGACACATAATCAACTATCATGATATTGAATGCATTCAGTGCAACCAGTAACAGATACATTGGGTCAACATTCACAATACGGAAACACAAATACCACTAAACCAGTATGTTCGGCTCATTTAACAGTGGTATGGAGCACTGGCTGGTCGCTTTGCCCATGCCTGGATAATGATCATACTAAGCTCCACTAGCTCCTGTTACACAAACAAATAAAACAGCTAGCAAATATTCTTTAAAATGTGACTGATCTGCGTATTATCATGAATGTATTTTAATTACCATGAAAGTGTGGCACATGCCTTGTGGATCAGTGATGACAACTGTGTGTGAGACAGTGCTTAAATGCTTTAGCGAACTCTCTAAGAGCATTTCCAGCTGTTTCAATTGACTGCCCTGTGATACATCAATCAAAAGGTATTTTGGGGAAGTCT